GGCACATACACACACGTGCCTGATGTGAGTTTTAAGTTGCTGAGTCTGGGACTTGAACCGCAATCAGCCATGTTGGAGTCCAGCAATGTAACTATTACATCATCTGCTGGTCCCTCTATAGACACGTTAAAAAGTATATTTATTTATTTATTTAATTACATTTGTCATTATTAATATATATGTATTTTTAATTTTACTAGAGAGACAGAGAAAGAGAAAGTGAGAAAGCAAACTACTAGCTCTAGGACTTGAACTGTGATCAGCCATGTAGGAATCCAGTGCCTTTAACTACCATGCCACCTGCCGGCCCTCTATAGACACTTTTAAGGAAAAATGACAAAGATAAAATAGTAATATGGAGAGGTTTTGGTGATTAAAAAGTTATCCCCTGGGCTAACTGGTGGTATGATGGTTAAGGCACTGGGTCCAATATGGCTGAAGGCATGGTGTAAGTCCCAGACTTGGCGGCTTAATAAACATGCCAGGCACATGTGCATGCTTACCCAAAATCCCAGGAGGAGAGTGGAACAGAACAGATTGCTGAGTGGCCATCCCACCAGTGAATGATTTCTCCCTCTCTGTTTCTTTCTGGCAAGTACATGCACCCTCTAGCAAAAATCTAAAAAGCAAACAAAAATAGTTCTCCCCAGGCCAGTAGGTGGTATGGTAGGTGAGGACTCCAACATGGCCAACTATGGTACAAGTCCCAGACCTGGTGGCTTGCCTTCTCATTTTCTATCTCTTTCTTTCACACTCTAATGAATTTAAAAATAATAATAATAGGGACCAGCAGATGGTATAATGGTTATGTTGCTGGACTCCTGCATAGTCAACCACAGTTCAAGTCCTGGACCCAGTGGTTAAAAATTCATGTTGGGCATGTATGTGTGCATGCCCAAAATCCTAAGAGGAGAATGGATCAGAAAGGACTGTGGAATAGCCATCCCCCCCTTGGGGGGGGGGGGAGAGTGACTTCTCAATTTCTGTCTCTCTGTCTCTGTCTCTCTGGAGAGCACAAGCGCCCTATAGCAAAAATCTCTCTAAAAATTAATTAATTAAATTAAATAGTTCTTTTTAAAAAATAGTTATTCCCTAAAAAAGTTGTTAACTATATATGTCAAAATGTACTATATAAATCTTTGTATATCCAAGATTTCCAAGATCTAGCAATGGTCCACTAGCTTTAGACAGATCATAGACTTATTTCAATCAAATTCCAAGGGAAAGAAAAAAATTAGTGGTTTTTGTTACATTGGATTCTGACTTCAAAGTTTCACATCAAAAAAGTTTTGAATCTTGACATTCAAAATATCTTGGCTATCTCTCTGGACTCTATCATTCAGAAAGTCAATAAACTTAACCTTGTCCAAGTTAATGGTAAACAAGGTAAGAACA